TAAGAAGTGTGGACTTTTTGCAGTGAGAATTGACAGGAAAAATAGCTTCTGGCTTAAAGCAAAATTTTATTAAATATTTAGTATAATAATATGATTAGAGGCTAATATTAATTTAATAATTAATATCAAATGAGGGCTTTGAAGACAAGGCGCATAAATGCAGTTGCTGCTATTTCGAGTAATGCGCGTTTGAAATTTTGAAATTACATGGATCCGTAAGGCGGAAAGAAAGTTCAAACTGACTTTTTGATGCTTAAAAATTGGAATTTAGAAGCAAATTTTTAACAGAATATGCATTAGGACTAGTTATTTTTGAAATCATTAATATCTCACACAGGGCCGGATTAAGGGGGTGGTCCCATGGGCCGCGGCCCATGGCGGCAAATCTATGTATAGGGGGCGGCAACTTTTGCAATTTTTTTACATGTAGGTACAAAAAAAAAAAATCAGATTTAGAAAAAAAAATTACAAACGAGAAAAGGCAACCAAATCTCTCATTTTCTGAGAATATAGTAATTTCTAATTTTGTCGTCTTTCAGTGATGCAAGAGACAGCACCTTTAATTAGTCGAGTTAAGAGAGAAACCAAACACGCAATTTGGCCTGGAACGACGTGACTTAGAGAGAATAATGATGACGAGGACTTGAGATGAAAAGGAGAAGCCCTCGATGCGGCGATCGGCATGTAACACATATTAGCGTCTACAAGACTGCACGAATACTTCACGCATTGCACCAAACACGTCAAACACGTGCGGTCAGTGCGGTCAGCGTGAAACGGATAGCGCCTACAAGAATGCATGAATACCTCACGCATTGCGGTAAACACAGTGCGATCAGCGTGAAGCGCATAGCGCCTACAAGACTGCGTGAATACTTCACGGATTGCGCCAAACACAGTGCGGTCTGCGCGGCGCGGTGGAGGAAGTTAAAATCATTAATCCACATTTCATGTTTGTTCTTTCATAATTTTTTCGTTAATTTCTTATGAATGGAAAGCCTTGTTCACACAGAGATAGGCTCCTAAAGTTTAGGTTCCAGGAATCGCCTAAGAACATCTTCAGAGAACACCGTCGTAAAAAATCAGCTGGTCGATTGTTGAATCGTTATAAAATGAGTTTGATCGATAAATTCCTATCTTCAATATGATATATATATCTAAATATCGATCAAGGTCATTCGATAACGGTTCAAAAATCGAGTCGCAGTTGTGCCGGGAATAAGAAAACTCATTTGGAATGATGCTCAGATACTATGGCAATCCCTCGACGCTCGATGGATGTAAATACTTAAATAAATAAAGCAATCGAAGTTCTGTTTATCTCTGATGAGCAAACCTAGGAGAATGGTTATTGTACCTCGCAGGTAACGGATAGATCGCAGAATCTAAAAAGCCGGCAAATAATTTCTGCGGGTCCGGGAGCAGGTTGTATCGGCGCACACTATCTGTGCTCTTGGAACTGAAGCCTACAAGTTCGGACCATTCTGCATCTGAGTCCAGACATCAGAGTCCGACAAACACAGCAAAGCTAGGGATTTTGGACCCGAAAAGTTCTTTCACTACAATTCGCAGGAGTGCCATGTAGACTGAGTTCATCAGAAAGGCATCAACCCACATTTTAGAAAACAATTGAGTGAAGAATGTTTTTGAGTTCCTTTGGTTTTATATGGACAAAATTTTGCGTTAAGGAACCACTATTTCTGGCTCTCCCATAAAAGCACGTATCTGCATAGGGAAACCAATGGCATGTATGTTGTTTCTAAAATGGGCTAGAAATAGTGGTTCCTGATTACAAAATGTAATCCATATATTACCCTGCCAAAAACTCAAGTCGAGAAAAAAGAAATTAGTTAGTGTTAAGAGGGGTTAAAGTTTATTTTTTACATTGAGCCCTATGGAGAAATAAAACTTCAAACCTCTTTTTCTCAGTTTCAACTTTATGTGAGTTGGTTCCTTTTTGTTGAACTCGGTCCATATTATATTAAACAATCCATCACGAAGACCATTTTAGACCCAACTCTAAATGACTTCTGTGTGTCTGAGGATTTACTTTGAATTGGCCGATAGCACTCATAAGTTGCCTCTACCTCTAGCATCTGTCTTCAAGTGGCACAAATTGCAATTATATGGTAAAATTGTTGTAATTCTGCCGGAGTGTTGTGTCTGTTGTCTATACTCACTGATTGAAGGAGCTCCTCTTTTGAAATTTATTGCAATTAAACTGAAATAAGTTGTAATTTTGTATACATTGCAAATTGCACACCCCTCTTACACTTGGAATTCATTTTGTTGATCGTTTAAAATCAGCATTTATACACCAATTAATGTAAAAATATTCGATGTTTTAAGTGCAAAACAACGTATCTCTGTTTGTGTCAAAGCAGATGTTCCGTCATGCTTTATTTATTCTTAGGAAAATTACTTAACGTAAATTATTAATATATCAATATTTTCTTGATTTTTCTTCACCATTTGCAAAATATTTTGCATAGATTTTGAACCATACATATGTCTTGTTTCTCTCCGAAAAAATAAAAAAAAGCGGGAATGCTGAAACACGGCATTAAAGCTACGTGATTTTGCACTGCGGTCATTGTATTGCAATTTTATGGTAAAAAATTGCAATTTCACTGCATTAGATGACAAAAGATTCATAAATTCTCATTGCACTGTGTTATCTAGGGCATGGCTATTACAATTAGAACTTCACAAGATATCCATGAAGGCGAGGGTACTATCGCAATGTATTGTTTCTGCAAAATCAAAGGGAATGATTTTGGCGGAGCCAGGAAGCCCTTCTTGGCATCACGTGTGCGATAGGCGTTGCGACGCACAATGTATAGAGTCAATAGGAGAGGTCGGACAAAATTTGGAAACTTTAAACGCTTAGAACTCAGTTTATTTAAAACTTTGACGTTTTAAAAGTGGTTCCATTGGTTTTTTCGTGAAATTTTCTACCGCAAGCACTCTTTAAATTCAAAATGTGACGAAAGAAACATCAAAATTTGCAGTTTTAAATGAAAATTTCATGCCCGACCTCTCTACTTGACTCGATCAACTGTGCCACGTCATGCGTCGTCGCGTCCGGGCAGTTCACTGAGGAAGAAATGGAAAACGCCTGAATGACAGCCGACGAGAATCGCAGGCAGGGGGTATCCACAGCCTGCTTTGCCACTTCGCCTCCAAATCGAAAGTCACCCAAGGGAAATGGCAATTCCCACTTGGATAAGCGGTTTTCGAAAAAAAGAAGGGAGGATACGGGGCTGCTCCATCAGCGTCATAATTTTAGTTTAAGCGTATTAAAGGCAGTCATTTTGCAACCTTTACAAGAGCACTTGGACAAAAAATGTCTTCTGTATCATTAACCTTCCACCATACTTTCCTTCTGTTTTATTCAGCATCGAAGGTTTATATTTTTTTAGGGCCACGGCACTTTCCTGGTCATAGTGATATCGTGCTGATATTACAAGATAAAAATGATACGAGAAAAGCCCGCATAACTTAACGGAAAAAGACACAAGGAAATGGGGGAAAAAGGCTAAAAGCAAACAGGATGCGTAGGTCGTTTCGAGTCGTTTTCAGTCCCCTTCATGATCAGGAAATAAAATATGAAAATATAGAGATCGAAAAACCCCTATGACATCCATTTGTGGTCTCAATCAATGTGTTTCTTACATTTTTATATTTTTCTATTTTTATTTCCTAGTCGAGGAGAGGATTGAAACCGCTGCGAGACGTTCAAGGTATTCTGTTTGTTTTAGTCTTGGTTTCCAGTTTTCTTGTATTTTGTTTCGTTGGTGTTATCTTGATATCATACTGATACTCCCTGGTAAAAATTAGCGATAGGAGCTGCGTTTCAAAATACCATAGAAGTTCTTATAGCCGACTAAAAATGCTATTGAAAATCATATTGCTGGCTGTAGAAAGCGGAGCAAATCATATAGCCGGGCTATACGAAGCTATAAAATAGTATACAGTCGGGCTAAAGTTCCTATCGCCGGGCTTTATACTTTCTCGCCTGGCTGTTGCTTTTTCGCCATCGATTATAAAAGGCTAAGAAATTGTGTAGAAATTCGTAAGCTTTGGAAATCATTAAGTTTGATACGGAACTACCTTAATATTTACAAAACACACATTATATTTTCCTATAAAACATATTTTTTTTTCATCAATTAAAATGAGAATAGTCCATGCAGAGTGTGCAAAAATTTCAAAATCATGAGTTGAAAAACGCTGACTCCGCGAGATTAAATATTAGAGACTAACACAAAGCGGAGCGGCGACGCACTGGCGCCTACAAACCTAACAGGGATACTTCACGCATTGCGCAACGCGTGAAATATCCCTTTTAGGTTCGTAGGCGCCAATGCGCGTTTCGCGCTCTCTGCCCGCCCGCCGCGCCGCGCCACAGCGTACCACGGCGTCTGAAGCAACTATTTCACATCAGAGGTATTGCACAGTATCATAAGAAATTGAAGGCGCTCCAACATATGAAGAGTGACAGGCATCCTTCAAAAGTACGGAGCTTTCCTTGCAAAATGAATCAAGATACTACGGCACAAAAAGAGAGCGGTAGTCTAAAAACTAATTAAGTCCTATTATCCGTATTTAGTAACGTTTGGCATAAACTTTATCGTCTGGCTGTTGCTTAATCGCCATCGGCTATAAAAGGCTATAAGAAATTGTACAGCCGGCTACAGAAGCTATTGGAAACCTTACAGCCGGCTGTACGTCTATGGTATTTTGGAACACAGATTCTACTGCCGATTTTTACCAGGGCTCCTTGCCACTATGCCATCACACTGATATCATTATTAACAGCAAGATATTATTCTGATCGAATTCACCACGGTTGTCTTGTAATGCAATTGGGAGTCATGTCCCATGAAATTTTTTTATGACGAATCCTAATACATTTTTTCGTCATCATGTCATCAGTCATGTCGAATGAAATTTTTTTTTGACAAATCCTAATACATTTTTTCATTCGTTTGTTTCAGGGTTTATCTAGATGTCTCAAGCGTCAGAGGCACAACGGAAGAAAGCAGGGAAGCTCTCTTGGAAACCTCACCCCCACAAATTGTAGCCGATCTAAAAATTTCATCTGCACTGACGACATCAGCTGTCAACAGCACAAACGATGAAACCAGTCGAACAGCCGTCACAAAACCCACTCCTATCGGGGAATCTCTCAAAACCGTCACGAAGCAGCTATTGCACTCGCCCAGTGCAACAGACATGGCGGTCACAGATGTTAGAACTCCACCCAAAATAAAACATCAGCTCTTGAGCCACGAAATGATAGCTCTCGGGAAAGGGGAGGCAGTTCCTGTGATCATGGAGGACGAAAACCATAATTACGAAAAATTATCCAGTCCGCAAAGTCAAACATCCCAAAGCCACATTGGAATCGGCTCTTACAGCAAACGACCTATCGAAGATTCGACCTCTCAAAGCGGGCTCTCCACTTGGATCCTCCTCAACAACGACAACGTCCATGGTCTACACAGCAGCACGCAAAACACCGCGGTCGACGAACCGAACTTGAAGATGACCAACAAAGCAGAAATCACAAAAACCTCCCCCGCTACCTTCCCTGAAAACAAAGCCCCCCAAAAGAAAAAGCACAAGCCAGCATCTACTACCCCCAACTATTCAACAACCGAGTCCCTGCACGCCAACACCAAACAAAAGGAGGACCAAACCGCGAGCCCGAAGAAACCAGAGAAAAAGCCCATGATCAACCCGAACGTCAAAACCTCCAGCACGACACCTTACGTGGAGCTCTACACCGAGAGGCTCGAAGAGATTGTGGCAGAGATTGACCCCGCTACCGGTGAAAAGAAGCCTTTGATCACACTCCAAGACTCGAAATTCAAGAATAAAACACCGGTGATTGTTGGGCGTATACCCCAAAAAGACAAGATCGAAGCGTCTACCATGAGCGCACCGACCAGCAGGACTCCCACGAGGATCGTGTCTTCGAGCGAACCAGTAACCAAAGCCGTCAATGATAACATTACCAGGTTTGGGACTCCTGTCGTGACCTTCCCCCACGTGCCGCCGCGAGTTCGCCCGAGTGCCCAGGTCAAAGAAGACGAGAAGACTCAGCAGACGAAACTCCAGCTCCAAAAACAGCAGCAACAGAAACTCCAGACCCAGTACCAGCAGAAACTGCAGCAGCAGAAGATCCAGCAACAGCTCCAGGAGCAGAACACGAAACCCATCTCCACGACAATGCCACCCTTGTTCTCCCCGACAACAGCCGCCGTGACGACCCCTAAGTTGGATGCCGCGTCGACCCCGCTCGCGACCAACGTCACGGAAACGACCCAGGCCTCCAACACGACGGCCACCCCCTCACAGGCCCCAACCATCACCGCCACGAAGAAAACCAAGAGGCCCAGCCAGAAGAGGAAGAAGAACAAGACCCGCAGGAAGCGCCCTACGAAGACCTCGACGACGAAGAACGACCTCGAAAGCAAGGTCTCCGAGCAGGATAACAGCCCCGCGGCCAAGATCCCCGGAGTCCAGAACAAACCCCTGTCAACAAGGATCTACAACTACCTGGCGAGAGAGGTCGTTCCGAACGTTGGTGTCGGCATCGTTGGACTCATGCTGACGGCCGGTCTCGCAGGTCTGCTGCTGTACCCGTTCGGTGGTGGCATTGCTGCCCGAAGAACCGAGAAATTCTCTGGAAACGCACCCGATGGACATAACTACTACTACAACGAATACTCAACGACGGGAGACATGGATCACGGTCAAGCCGAAGAACAAGTTTTCGGACAAGTCCTGGCCGGCATGAGCCACAGCGACCCCTACACCAACGCCTACTCGAGGGAACGACCCAACACCAACAGCTACTACCCCAACCCGAATAACAAGTACAAGCCGGCAAGGTACGAGACAGTCGACGATTACGCTCAAGCAGGAATAGCCGGATTCAAGGAAGACATGACGCAGGAGAGTAAATACTCAACTCTCGGAGACGTTAACAAAGACTACAATTCTGATGTGAACCCCAAGTACCCCTCAGTAAGTATCAATAACCAAGGTTCTGAGCCGTACGCTATCACTGACCCAGAATCGGATGGCTCGAATGTCAACAAGTACGTGGACCCGACCAGCTCATCAGACGTGAAAGACCAGAAGTTCACCGCTGTCGCTGGCTCACCAACCGATGTTAAGACCAACACGAAATACTCATCTACCATCGACTCGACGTATGACAGCTACTCCGGACAGGTCGGCCACGGGACTGTTTATAATGATGAAGTAGGCTATGGCGGAAGCAGTGACATGGAGCACAAAAACCACCGTGTCGATTACCAAACTCACGAGGAGAACGTTTCCATGGAGAAAATCAAACCATCGGACGCCTCCGATGAGATCATCACAGCCGAAGACAACAAGTCGGTTTCGTTGACACAAGCGTCGAGCAAGGAGGAACAGCCCACCTACTCTGCCCTGGAGGGTATACCAAAGAGGATCAACTATAATTATGGCTACGAAAAGCATACTCCCAGCGATGAAACTTACTCCGAGTCATTCGTCCCGATGAACGTCAACGAGCAAGACAGTTTCAATCACAGGTACAGCTTGCAAGTCGAACATGGCCCGCGAAATTTGAAATTGGAAAACGTGCAGATAACCGAACAGGAACCGAAAGTTAGGAGGAACAAGCGTCAGGTTCCGAGAGTTCGAGTGGGCAAGTCGGATAAAGAAATCGAAAACGAAATCGATGGAGTTCTACCAGAAGAGATGTCATCTTCGACCAAGAAAACAGATGCCACAAAAGCTGGACCTTCAAGCTCAACAGCTCAGGCCGAAAGTTCATCCGTAAGCACCCCTGAGAATGTAAAAGATGGCCTAAAAAGCACCACCACAAGCACGATAGTAGACGCAACAGACGTTTCGAACGAGGATGAGGAGCAATTTGAGGGTGACAAAGTCGACACCATTTCCTCCGAAAAACCATCGGATCCGGACCTCACAAAACCCACCACGCCACTTTCTTTCGTTGATATCTTGAAGAAAGTAGTCGAGTTCAAGATCAATCTTGCAGTTAACGTCATTTCGACCACGGCGGACACATTGTCAAGATATTTTGGCACCATTCAGAGCAAAATGGTCACGGCCATGAGACACATCAATGAGCTGGACAAAGAATTTAGGAAAGGAGTTGAAAAGTTAGGCGCTCATGTGAAAGACAGTAAAAACAAACCCAGTAAAGACGGCACAAGCAGTCAAGGTGATTCTGACGGCAAACCTCAAGCCGATAGTTACAACCTCAATGACGACATCAGTCACATCGACATGGGTATCGAAAGTGATTTTAGTACCATCAACAGTAACTTCAATGAAAACGATAAGATCATCACAAGCCAGCCAAATAAGAAATTGACCGATGATGGTGGTCTCAATAACGCAAGTGACTGCACCAGTAAAGATAATTGCAATTCAAACAAGGAACATGCTGAGAAAAAGCACGAATTCCATAGCATACGACGACGAGATGTCTCTGTAAAGTCTGCGACCAAGAAACATCTAAATGTAAAAAAATACAGACCACTAAAAAAGACTTAAGCAATGGAACTTGCTGGTATCTAATTTCTAATTAGTTTTTTACAGACTGTAATTTTTACCTGGGTATTTTCACGTTTGCTTTGGATTTTTTGATCGTCAGCAAAATGTAATCCATAAACAAACGTGGTGATTTATTTCGATGAATTTTCAGTGGAAGCGCCATTTCAAAGGAGGGCAATACGAGCAAATGGTCCTCTTTGGACTGAAAAACTATACCGCATCTTAGAAAATTTCAAATGCATTTTCGGGTTATTTTTGGAGATTTTCCGAGAATTTGCTCCTCATTAAAAACACAAGTCTAAACTGAAATGACAATTTTCCTGTTCAAAACATTTTGGTTTAATTTTAATGTTTCTAAATGGTTTATCTTGTGGCCTCGGGAAATTCATAAAGAACGTCCCCACCTAAAAATATCCTATACATAGAAAATATCTTTTAATTTGTTATGAGATCAGTGAATAGTTTGGATACATTAACTCTAGCTGAAATATTATCGATAGTTTAGAAGTGAGGAGTAATTTTTTTTTGCTCAGCTGATATTCATCATTGATAGTTCATGACCTCAAATTCGTTCAAAACATAGCTTTTAATATTTTGGACGGTGCATTTAAAATATTTTGGTTGAAAAATCCAGCCTTCAGATTGAGAAGGGTCATATTTTGGATTTCTTAAACAAAGTATTTTAGTTTTAATGCAAAAAATTTGACACCAGCGCTACAATTACATATAATTTTGCACAAATCTAGGTAATGTTTAGAGTTCCCACCATCCGGTCTAATTTTTTTTACACAAAAAGATACAAGGAAAAACGTCGTCCTAATTAATTTAGTCTCGTAATTTATTGGAGTGCTCAAAATAGATTTAACTTTAAGCACAATAGTTGGACTAGTTTTAAATATCTCATCACTAGTTATCAATAGTACATAAAATTCATCCTAGAGTTGTAACCATGAGTTTACATTTTCATACGTCTGATTCAATACTCATATTTTAGTGTAAGTAAAATACAGGTGTTCCAGCGCCTTGAATTTTCTGTTTTTGTTCTGAAGGTTTGAAATTTTTTTTAACGGAGGTGTGCATTAGTTGCAGTCATTCAAATTTCTCAGCAGTGCTCGTCTACGCGTCAGAAAGCGGTAGTGATTACTGCATAAATCGTTTTTCGATACTGATTGATGTGGACACTGTACTTGGTGCTAATCAATTGTCTCTATTGCAATTGATTCCAGCTAATTTATATTTTTAATTCTCATTATTCTCATTATCTTATAATTTTAGGTGTACATCACGCTGTGTTTTAGGTTAAGTTCAGTTACGTTGCCAGGCAAATTCTGCCAAGGACGACCATAGTAGTTTTGTAGAAAATTGATAATTTACAGACTGTTAAAAGTTGGCATTCTAGATTGCATGGATGGACCGACTTATTTTCCAATCAGTTTCAGCTTCCGGGAGGTATGCGCACGCAAGCACGTAGAGTGAGGCTATATTCGTTGAAGAACGAGAGGAGAGAAATACTTCGCTGGTCGAAGTACATAAACACGCATCTATACTGTAGTGCTTTAAAATTTCATTTTCGAAGTTTCGTTTTGAGGAGAAACAAGCTAACTCTATACCTTGGAATTCATAGAGAATATTCTACACTGGAAAAAAAAACACATTGGATCTAGAGTCCAGACTCTTGAAAACATTGAGAAGAAAAAGGACTCTTGATTCAATCAGATTTAAGCTTAAATCAAGAACCAAGCCTCTTAATTTGAGCGGATTTCCTTTTGATTTAAGCTTAAATCTGATTGAATCAAGAGTCTTTTTTTTCGTCAATGTTTTCAAGAGTCTGGACTCTAGATCCAATGTGTTTTTTTCCAGTGTATGATTTTTTTTTTAATTTTTTTTTTTTTGCAAAAAATGGCAAAACATAGGGGTCTTGAAGATTTTACAAGTCTCATAACTGGATACTCAGTATTCAATACGAATTGTGCCGAACTATGATTAAGTGAGTCAATAATCCATTAAACTTAAAAATTTGGTCCACTGTTCATGAAAGTTACAATAACTTATTCCACACTGTCAATAGATTTAATACTTTTTTAGTGTAACTTTTTAAATCTACTATAAGTAATCTTAAAGCGTAGAAATCCATAAAAAATTGAATATTAAAATACTACGTTACGAATATATTGTCACCCAGTCGACAAGGCTGCTAAAGTCTATATTAGCCCTTGCGCAATTCAAGAATGCCAACCTTTTGACTGAATGATTGAGTTTTGCTCTAAGCAATCAACTGTAATACCATACGCGTTAGATAGGATACTCTTGATTTGAGGGCTCAGTTTATTTATTTTCTAAAATGTACATTTGTAAATAAAATATCTTAAGGCTGTATACATCATTTACATAATATTAATTTATTTATTAAATGATTGTTTAATTTATTAATTTCTCCACGTGAATTTTGTCGATTAGATTTTGTAAAAATAAAGAAATCAGTTTCTTTTGTAAATGTTCTTGTTTTTTTCCAGTTGACGCTTATATGCCCTGGCTATACACAGGAATAGAGCTGAGACCATGCTCCACCCAATTTTTTAGATTTTTTGTTCGAAAGCGCCAGTTTTGCATTATACAAATACAAGAATTTAGTGAGAAGAGATGATAAAAAGAGTTACATGGTCACTCTGTCTGATACATAAAATTAATATTTTCTTTAATATTTAGTCAAATTTAAAATGATATCTATGGTTAAAAAATTTGAAAAAATGAATCAAAACCGAATTACCTTCAAAAGAAGATTCAGTAAGGGAAGAGAGATTATTTGAAAATTTAAAAACTCGATGCTTATGCTGATGTGCTGAGGAAAAACGCTGTATGAACCTTTAGGCGTTGCCAAAGATTATTTGATAAAACTCGAATTTCCTGGTAAACTTATGAATATTTTCCTCTCAATTTTTCAGATAATTTTGTTCAGAATCTCACCTAAAGATTCTGAAAATTCAAAAGAAAAAATATCCAAAACTTTCCTCAAATATAAGCATTTTATCGAAGGAAATTTGGCAACTCTCGAATATTCATACGGCGTTCTTCCTTAGCATGGTAGTATGAGAGTTGGCAGGAGAGAGCATCAATTAAGTAATCTGGTCATGTCATCGTCCTCAGTTTTTGGATCATCCATTGGCAGGTCACTTATTCACTATCAATTAGTGACTTGATACATGAGCTTTTAGAATTTTGATCATCTATTCGATAATCCTAACCGGTTCCGAAATGAGCAAGCTAACTGGGTTTGATTCAAAATAAACAGCAGCTGAATGAATGTAGCGGTCCGTTTTTTTTTTTGAGTTGCGTAGCTTCCCAAAATCTAAATGCAAATACACTTCAAACATTCTATTTTAGTATCATCGATTTTATATGGATTCAGTTTGGGAACCTACAACAATCTCAACAAAATTTATGAAAAAAATTTAAGCAGGTTTAGGGTTTATTGCAGAAAATATTTTAACTCTTAATCATGTTTAAATCCATGCTTTCTCCCTCATCGCACATTATGAAGAAATACAATTTTATGAAAGGGAATTTACTGGTAGTACTTAAAATCTCGATAATAATATGCGTCAGTAAATTGATCTTAAAATAGTTCCATTTAAACCTGGCAGGAACTATTTGTACGAGTGGCCTACCGGTATTAGTTATATTGTCTTCGGCCACAATCCTCTCTTTTGGTCTGTACCTAGTCTTTACAGAGTAATTTTCATTTATCTCATGATCAAATGGACCGCGTTAAGCAGAAAGAAACCAAGTCACATCAACTATTGCCAACTTTAATCGGCATATTTAATTTTTTAACTGAGAATGGTCGTGCGATTTTTGTGCAAATTTCAGTAAATATTCTGCATAGTGCGAAGCAATTTCATTAAAATGTCTAAAGGAATCCGTACAACCGGTCTTTCGTAAAACTTAAAGTTTTACGTTGCACGATCAAATTTTATGGCAATGGCTGATTTGGCTCGGTTCTTTTCAGCTAAACGCGGTTCGAATCGGCTACATTTTAATCTGCAGCGTTTGAGACGATTTGTTAAAATGTCCAAAATTGGAAACCCTTTTTGTTTATCTCTCAGTAAATATCTAGTCCGCAAAGACAGCTTTCACAGCCAGAGTTTTTTCTTTAATGATTAGTCCACCTCACATATTCAGAAACTCACGATAAATCTGGCAACGGCTGAAGCTGGAAATCTGCTTGCAAAGTTTAGTTACGAGATTTGCGCAAAGGAACTTAGAGGCGTGGGAACAAAAATGCCAGTTGTCTCCTTTGAGAAATGCGAATAAGCCCTCAGGGGAGAAGAATAGGAGGGGCAATCTCTCTTCCGATTAAAAACCACCCAACTCCAACGGCGACTCAACTTTCGTTGAGCGCTTTTTGCCGGGAGCATTTGTAATAAAAAACTGCGTGCTTTGGGATTATGACTCATCCTCTCTCCGGAGCCCGGAGCCCGTGAGCGGCTCCGTCGCACTAAGCAGAAACGCCGTGTGAGAATTCGAATGTTGCCAAATTTCCTCTCAGTAAATATTATTTTTCAAGTGAGATAGTAGTACTTATCCTTGAAATTTCCAGACTTCAAGGATCAGATTACGAGCGAAATCATCCGAAAAATCGAAGGAGAAACACTGAAAAAAAAATTTCGGTGTATTTACCAAGAAACGGGTAAAATTACCAAGAATTCAGGGTACTATTTGATCCCAGTTTTTTATTGGTAAAATTATCATTTATGGAATTGGTACTTTTACCGAGAAATCTCGGTAAAATTATCGAACTTTCTCGGCAATTTTACTGGACCTTGGTAAAAACGTCAATATTTTTTATCGACTGTGGTAGAATTACCGAGATAAAATAGCAAAGTTACCGGGAATTGATTACCAATGAAAGTGGTATTCTTACCTGAAAAAAAAAAAAAAAAAAAAAAAAAAAAAAAAAAANTTTAGGTAAGCTTACCATTCTGTCTTGGTAAAATTACCAATAATTGGTAAAAAAAAGTGAGATGGTAAAGGTACCAACGGACCTTGGTAAAAACGCCGAGAATTTTTTTTCAGTGAACAATCGCACATTTTCCTGAAAATTCGTAATTTGTCGAAGGAACTTTGACAACGCCTGATGGCTCATACGTCGTTCTTCCTTAGGACGGCAGAGCTCACAATCAGCGAGGACACTCAGGTTGGTGCATCCCGTTAGAGGTATTCACCAAACGAACCATTCGGAAGGTGTGGCACCGACAGTCAAGTTGCCTATCCTGGCCTGGTCGCTAACCTAGTTTGTTTTCCCATTATTTTTTTACTCCGGCGGATTCTCGCTTTTAGCTCCACTTTTTCATCTGTCGCCTCTCCGCCGCGCCGGCACGAGCGATGCGGGTATGCGCCTCTTAACCGCCCCCCCCTCTCGCCCCCTTCACTCCTCCCCTCCCCCTGCGCACGCCGATGATCGAAGTTGCGGCCAGGACGATGATCTGTGGTTCAAGTTGGAGCTTTGAGTTTTTCGATCAGTGGATTAATCGAATTTTTCGATAATCGGAAGCGCAGATCGATTAATGATCGAGTCGAATCTAAATTACACATTCACTGGAAAAAAAAAAAAAAAAAAAAAAAAAAAAAAAAAAAAAAAAAAAAAAAAAAAAAAAAAAAANAAAAAAAAAAAAAAAAAAAAAACACATTTGATCTAGAGTCCAGACTCTTAAAAACATCGACAAGAGAAAATACTCTTCATTCAATCGGATTTTTTCTTAAATCAAGAACCAAGCCTCTTAATTTGAGCGAATTTCCTTTTGCTTTAAGCTTAAATCTGATTGAATCAAGAGTATTGTTTCTTGTCAATGTTTTCAAGAGTCTGGACTCTAGGTTCAATGTGTTTTTTTCCAGTTTTCATTGCATTATATGGATTGCATCTTGCAAAAAAGAACCAGGAGCATTGCAATTTTGCTAAGATTGGGCGACTTCAGCCGTTGCAATATAACTATTGAAATCCTGCAAAAATATGAAATTTACGTGGTAATTTTTGTCCTAAATTTACAGCTTTTATCGAGTCAAATAGAAACTGTCCCTGGATAATCAGGTTTTCCTTCCAAGACAAAAGAAGCTGCACAATTTCAGCAACATTGCCATGCTCCTGGCTCCTTTTTGCAAAACGCAATCCATTTGTTCTTACATAAAACCATAAATTTTCAAAATAATTACCTATACCTTGGATACCCGAGTTCTTAAGTGTAAGTCAGGATTTGGGTTGAATTTAAGGATCAAAAAGCGACCAAAAGTCGAATGTAACTGAATATACACGTATTAGAATGGGCCACCAAACAAAGTATGTGCTGGAACATTTCATGACTTTTTTTTCAAAATTTCACGCGAAAAACTAATCATACAAAGGAAAAGTATTGAAACGAACTCCTAGAGACCCACTCAGATGAGAGAAATATGAATTATGCCATATCAACGGTGCAACTTCAAACATGCGTATCTCATCTCGGTTGTGGTGTTTCGAAATCTCCATTCCTATTTTATTTTTAAAAAGAGACCAAACCAACATCAAGGCTTGAAGTTTTCACCGAGTATTCTTCCTGCAGAGAGGAAAAATCACCGTATAATTTGTAATCTTCCGTCACATTCTTACGGCGCAATGATACAACTATTTGAACTCTCCGGAATGCGTGAGGTATCACGCCGCATTTGAAGGCGTTTTCAAAACAGCCAAGTTCCGATACCCGGATTATCGTTTTGCATAGTTCATATTCTTTTGTTATATTCCGTACCACTTGTTTATTTTTAATCCTCGTATAAAAACCACCCATTCGCTAAATACAATTCTAGCTGGAGCGTAATTCAGCTATGCATTCACCACTGCAAACATGTCAAAGGAAATCGACAAGACTAGCGTGTATGGAGGCTATTTCAATTGTAATCTTCCGTCACATTTCTAAGGCGCAATGATACAACTATTTGAACTCTCCGGAATGCGTGAGGTATCAAGCCGCATTTGAAGGCGTTTTTAAAACAGCCAAGTTTTGATATCAGGTTTGTAGTTTTTTGGGTCGCTGAATCCGAATCTGAAGTTTCCTTTCGCGTATCTGGTGAGCATTTTCCGCCATTTTGAAGAAATGGCCTAAAAAGGCCTTTTTTTGCGGTTTTTTTGATATAGCGGCTACGCATGAGAAAAAGTCCCGGATTTAGTTAATGTTTTGAATAGCTGTCATAATTTGGAAGAAAATGGTGTGTGCATATGCTAGGTTTGCTTAAAAATTGAGGAAGATACAGCATCGTGATCATCGCGCCCATTCACGTTTTCGCGGCGCACCCATCAACGCGCGATGCGGCTCGCCGCGGTCAGCCAAGTTCCGAAGCGTTCCAAAGTTCCGAGATCCGAGGTTCCTCAATTTTTGAGCAAACCTATCATATTCATGTACCATTTTCTTCCAAATTGTGTCACCTATTCAAAACATTAACTAAATCCGAGACTTTATCTCATGCGTAGCCGCTATATAAAAAAACCGCAAAAAAGGCCTTTTTAGGCCATTTTTTCAAAATGGCGGAAAATGCCCACCAGATACGCGGTAGGAAACTTCAGATTCGGATTCAGCGACCCACAAAACATAAAGTGCGCCAAAAAAATCGCTATGTACCCAAAATTCCAGTTAGACTTACCAGGCGCCTGGACTAATAATGTACTGAGCAGACTTTTCTATGCAGGTACCCTGTTTTTGGTGTTTTTGGGTGACCTAACCCTTCTATTGAAGGATGCCGGGTCCGGGTAGATTTTGCGATACATTTTGGGTTTATACTCTCATATATTTAATTTAAAAAAACGGTTTATAGGCCATTATTACGCCCAACAGTCATTTTGATGGCAATATGAAGTATAAATAATTTTAATCACGCATGATTAACGCAAAATGAAAGAATATCGATAGTGAGTAAAGAACGGGGTAACTAGCACCTTATAGGTCGTTCTTGCACCCATCGATCCAGAGGCCTGACTTAACTCGGAAAAAAAGGTTTTTCGACCTCGAGCCGTTACCTATCTCTATTCTATCGCTACCACAGCATAGTCCAGGGTACGTAGAATCCGAAAAGTAGATGGGCGTAATAACGATCTATACGCCTATAGGCTGTTCTTGGTGCGGTGTCCTCAATTGTTAGTAAATAATGGCGTAGTAGTTTTCCGTGAAGAAAATGAAGTATGACAGGAAGTCTGCAACGCCGCAAACCGAGATATACATTGCTAGCTTCACCATCGATATGTATAATTTAACTTTCACTTGATTTGTGTTTAAAATACTTGGTAATATCTCGTTTGCAAGTTGATTCACGAAATTCCTGTAGAATGAATATTTTTTTACTCAAGATAATAAAAACAAAAGAGTCGACTTTATTCCGGTGTAGAACTTTTCTAGCAGCTCAGCCACCTTTACAAAATACAATTTAAAGGAATTGAAAGAGCGCTGAAAGATAGTAATTTTAATAATTGATATTTTATTTGCACTAAAGTATAACAAGAAACATTTAATCTATCAAATTTAACAAACGTCTGAGGAACAGAAGGACTAAAAATTTACAACAAAGGTACATCATATTTTACCTGCTAAATTTTATGAAATTAAATACAGGGAGGTACACAGATTATTGCAAGAATTGAAAATTAAATAATGATTTGTCAATCACAATGTACAAAGTGAAAACTAGGAAGAAGAGAATGAGGTTAGCATCAGGGTGAAAAAATACTCAGAACATTAAGTTGGCAGATCTATACAAACACGCAGTGGCGATTTTGCGAGTTGGCAACGCTTTTTCGCCCATTTAAATCCATCAAAAATATCGATTTTAGGCGAGATGAGCTGCCTCACCAATAATCGATTGTTTCACATACATTTAAATGGAGGAAACACAGTGCTGCCAACTTTCAAGGGTCGCCACTGCAAACACGGAAGTTGTTGAATGAATTTTCTACTAAAAGTTAATTATAATTTTTCCGTGATATGCAAAAGTGAGATATTAACACAATATTGTCCACAATTTGGGAGAGCAATAGAGAAATGATGCATTTCATACAGGTATCATACTTCTACATCAAGTTTTCGTGCTTGACATATCTTTGTATATTGATTGCTTGTGCTCGATCGGGTACGTAACACCTAACATAGCCTTAAAAATCACCAGAACAAAAATTTCGGTAAAGAAATCCTCAGAAATAGTGCACTGAAAAAAATAATATGCTGTTTTAGCATCTAGGATGTCAAAAATGTGTCTTGTGATCTTAAGATGCTGCCTTTACTGCCCCCGCAGTTAACTTTACACCCTGTGAATGTAAATTCAATTGAGTAGGCAACCAAGGCAGCATCTTAAGATCACAAGACACATTTTTGACATCCTAGGTGCTGAAACAGCATACCATTTTTTTCAGTGTGGATGCAACATGAGGCAGTAGGAGGGCTCCAAAGAGATACTTGCAACTAGTGTTCTCTCTCCAAAAATAGAATGTGGATCTGGTGCTACAGAGTTACCGTAGAGAACATAGTGTGAAAAATAAATGATTCCTTTTGACATTTTTTACTTGATTATGTCAAGATTAAACGTTAGAATTTGACTTTAAAGTACATATTTAGATATAACGTTGCGTATGGTCTTTTTTTGTCACATTAGGATAGAAAATACGTAGCGAAATGAAAAATGCAGATCTTGTACATGAACAGATAGTTACGTTAGCGTAACCTGCAAATTAGCACATCTAAATTGAATCACCCGATTTTGAAGACTTTGAACTAAATTAAACACGTCCCAATTTTAAGAGTTTATCAAACATCCGGATAATAAAATGAGACAAGTATTTTACGTAGGTCGATTGTGTTCATATCCTCCCAATAGACTATTGTCTCTTGTCTTGCGGCTTTATACGGTCGATTGTAAACCCAACAATAAAAACAAAATATGATTTGAAAAATGTTCAGACTTGTTTAAATTGCTATTCGAGAATCTGGTTATATAAACCATAAGTGTGGTATTCAGCATCGGCAGCACTACTCGGTTCATATCATCTCGGTTCTGGAAACCGAGATTTCAAACGAAACCAAATTATAAAAAACGTTCGATTGCATGAACCGGTACTTATAGTACGGTTCCTATAGTTTTTAGAAACGAGAGCACATTTACATGAACTAAATAGTACTGCCAATATAGACCATCGTATTTGCGGTTCGTAAGACCTAAATGTTTTCTCAATATGATTAAATGCTAATATCTTACGGCTTATTGATAACTCTCGTGGAAAGCCGTTTATCATCATTTGAATGGTTTGAACACACATTTTTTCAATTTCACCTTTATTTATTTATTTTTTTAAAAAAAAACCGGGATAGACATTTTTAGATGAAGTCTTTCTTACAACAGAGAAAAGAGATCAAATTGACAAGAAGTCAATTAAAGAAAAACAATAAACAAATTGAATGTTTTACTTGATAAAAAATAAAAGAGGAAGAGAAAAAATACAACATCGAAATTTTGCGTGTAATATATCCTTATAGAAACTCTTGCTTCCGTTTATGCCCACGCTGCGCCTCCTTCAAGAATGATTCCCGACACAATAAACTTAATATCACAAAGATTCGGAAAATACTATAATTTAATTCTTAAAAGATAGAAAAAACAGAAAGAGAGAGAGAACGAGAGAGCTGCTCTACTTGATATAAATTGATTCTCTGAATCTTTTCTAATGATTGATTTAATTCATTAAAATTAATATCACAATGTTCAACCTTTCATTGGTCCTGGAATTTGTAAATGCTGATTGACCGCCTAATCACCAGGATAATCTGAAAAATAAGAATAACAGAATATAATGTGCATTCAATGGCTAAAGTTTTTGTCTACACCATGCGAGCGAGCGTAGAATCAAATGACGACATTGTGTAGATACACGTAGATTTCACTTAGGACGTTTAATAAAAGTGTGTGAAATGCCGTGCGAGATTATGTATTAACCAAAAATGAATTTGTTAATAATTAAGATGTATACAAATCTGCTTCATGAAGAGAAAAAAGAGAGAAAGACACTCTTTAAATGCTTTATTGAAGACGGATATTGATCAGAATTTGTCATTTTGTTGAATGTTTATTTGTGTCATTAACGCAGCGACGTCTAATCTCAACTTTAAAAGCATCAGACTGATTGACAGAGGTAACAGCGAACCATCGAACATAATCTAAATTTTATAAAATATGCGCGAACACTTTATTTTGCCGCTTGCTTGGCTGGTGTAAGACTTATGCTCAGTTTGGTTTACGAGGCATTCTCATTGCGAAAAAGAAAGGATAGAAAAACCCCTTCATCTGAGACTGGATGCAACATATTCAACTCCAGGGCAATGTTGGTTTGCATACTCAAGATTTGAAGGCGTTTTAAAATCGTGTCTAATCTCGCAAGGTCCCTACTGAAATCTCACAGTTTTATTTTCAAATCATAGGCTCCTCAATGTTGTGCTTAAATTACGTGGTTTTATCTAAATTTATTACTTTTCATTTTCATTATATGAGAACGTCAGTTAGTGGAAAATGTTCAGGATGATCGGGGAAAAAGATTAAAAGGGGAATACGAAGAAAGGAAGAGAATTAGACTCAGACATGGAGATACACTGGATAGAAAACGACGGATATAACTTTCTATGTACGAATGGTCAAAATTTTAAAATGAAGTCTTAATCCTTACCTACAACTTCTTCGACGGGTGACGGTCCCCCATCATCATCGGCTGAATGCTGGCGGCTCGAACGAGAATTTTGCTTGGAAAGACCCTGTAAAGCCAACACGAAGATATTAAGTCGCCAAATAATTGACGTCAAATAATTTACTACTTAGCGGGATAAGAAGTGACTCGATGTTTTCTACTCTTTAAACTCTTACACAGATCATAGTTAACTGTTAGAAAATTTCTAAAATTGACTCATGTGCCGGGATTTATATTTTATCATCGCGTTTTTAAGCTAGAGACAATTGCTTAAAATTGTTGCCAGGAGACGTAGAACAAAGTACACATACGGCTTGGTCAAAGTTCAGCCGTGCTAAAGAAAAACCTGTGAGCCTTCAAATGTTGCCATATTTCCTTCGATAAAAAACCAATTTACTGGGGGAATTCTAAATAGCCCTCCTCCATTTTTCAGGCAATTTTGTACAAAATGTAATCTAAAACATTACATCTGAAAATTTCAAGGAAAAATATGCATAACTTTTCTTAAAAACATATATTTTGTCAGGAGAGATTTAGCGGCGGCAGAATGTTCATACGATTCAGCATGACTATGAAAATTACTCTGCGATACAGCTCTGGTTTGTGATATACGGTCTGATTGCCGAACAAGAAACTGAAAAGTTGCGTCAAATGAAAAGTACAACATTTCATCACTGCCATTTTGATATGCATATTCGCGCGGTGTACTTCTACAACTGACCCAACAATCCCAGCACGTTAAGTTGAGGGACTGATATGGGGTTCTTCCTCTAAAATTTCAAGGGTTGGTCCCATTTACCTGTTGATGTTTGCGTTGACGGGGTGGCGATCTGTTCCACAGCGCCTCTAGTTGGTCGAAATGTTGCGACTGAGCTAAAGCAGCTTGCTCTGGGCCGTAACATGCCTGGATAAAAAAATAAAAACATTAAGCATCAGTTTTGTAATTTTTTTTAAAGAAATTCAGTAGTCTTGAGCGAGATACTCCAAAGTAAAAGCATGTAAACTTTGCCATTTAAAATATTTACCTTTTTACGTTTAATATCTCTCGCTTATTGGGCATCTTCATTCGAGGGACAATACTACATGCAACCGATCAAAGAGAAATATCTTTTGTCACGGGAGCAAAATTTTCGATGGGTAGAGACATTTTTCTCGAGTTGGGCTAGTAAATCGAATTTGAAGACTCCCATGGACCTTTAGTGTCTTGAAGCATAATATGTGAATGCAAGCAGTTTATTGCATTTTTTCAGTCAATAAAGAGCATATATGTACATACATTCGCACGACGGTTTAGAGCTTTTAATCTGTGGTTTCAATCACTGGCGTGGCTTGCTTTGCGATGTATCGTTGATCTGCCATTTAAACCTATGGAAAAATATCGACGGACAAGGTGTTTGCAGCGAACGGTTATAGGACATTTCGGTAACGATATTTGGACGTTTTTCTACCAAACAGACCTATGTGGAGGTGAGAAATATGGTGTGTGCTCGTTAGTGCTCTGGCCGTAAGAGTGAACGGGAATAATAAAGCGCCAGTGACGTCAGCGGCAATGATAGTTCGCACGCGAACGAGAGGGAGCTCGTCGTCGGGGCGCTGTAACTCATGAACCCTGTTTACAAGGCTCTCTTGCCATGCCCGCGGCTCATGAGTTCCGCATTCAGTTGGCACATAGGTCTGTTTGATAGAATGTAAAATCCCGCTTTTCCAATTCTTCAAAAGGAACCACGCCCACTTTTACATTGCTTCTTATGCAGCTTCCACGAGCACACCCCATATTTCTCACCTCCACATAGGTCTGTTTGGTAGAAATACGTCCATTTTGTCCGCGCACCTGTTTTTTTCAGTAATATACGCCCACGCGTTTTTTCGGCACGGGAGTTTTGGTCCACGTGCCAGTTGAGACCCAAAGTCAATTGGCCCACATTTAAATACAAACTAATTACTTACGACGTTTTTGCATGAAAATATATAATGTCTTGGAAGAATGAGGGTTCGCTTGTTTATTTGTTTTGTCTGTTTGGTTCAACAGAGAATAATATATAGTTGAGAGTTTTGGTAAAAATGGGGGAGCGTCAATTCCATGAGAAAAAATTCACTAAAACTCTCTACACCTCTTTGGCGTAACAGGACTTAATTATCTTTCAAGAAATTCCCACCTTGTTATACCTGAACCGGATAAACCTCTATATTTGCCTCAGCTAAAGGCTCTTAGATTTTTCCTGTGTGCGATAAGTATCTTGATTTATTTTGCGAGGAAAGATCTGTATACTTTTAAAGGATGCCTGTCATTCTATTTTATATATTACTGTGCAACACTTCCGTTGTGAAATAGTTGCTTCAGGCGCCGCCGCACGGCGGGCGGGCGGCCACCGCGAAACGCGCATTGGCGCCTACAAACCTAAGTGGATACTTCAAGCATTGCGAAATGCGTGAAGTATCCACTTAGGTTTGTAGGCGACAGTGCGAGCCTCTCGCGCTGGCAGCACGCGCGCCGCTCTGCTCTGTTCGGCTTTAATATTTATACTCGCATAGTCAGCGTTTTTTAACTCATTCTTTAAATGTTAGCACACTCTGCATTGATTATTCTCATTTAAATTGATGGGGAAAAATATGTATCAATTTATCAAAGGAGAATAATAATATAATGTGTGATTTTTAAATATTGGTGGTTCGTATCTTTAATGATTTCCAAAGCTTTTGATGATGGAGGATCTCATTGAGTAATAAAGAGGAAATTTCCTCAAAATTGTCGGAGAGAATTAGTAATATTACGAAAAAAGAATCCTTGACTCGTACCTGTGACGCTATCGATTCAGGGATCTTTGATATTTCCTCCATACTTGCTGATACTGAAAACCTCCTTCTCAATCTCTCATCGGCAGCAGCCATCATGAGGGATGATGTTAAATGTGCATATTTCTTCTGCCACGAGTATGTGTCCAGAGTTACCTCTTTCTTCAAAAGTCGTCGCATTGGTCGTTTGGGAGCAGTTGTTCTGATTTCTGAAGTTCACAATGAAAATTTATGTTAAATTGAGTTCAGAACACATTTAAAGGTTATGGAGCACACTTAACCAGGCTGTAAGTCGAGTCAGCACAATTCTTTCTTTAAAAATATAAAAATCAAGATTGTACAAAGTACTCAGTAGTACAAAGTGTGTGACTGTGGTTCGATGTATCGTTTGGTTCAAAACACTAGAACATAACTTCAAACTTAGGATAAAGTTGAAAAAGCTGAAAATGAGAAAATTCCTAACTATTTCACTTTGCATCGCCATTTTGTACTCATTAAAATAATTAATCTATCATAAAAAACCCGTTCCCTCAGATTACTCAATCGACATTTGAGGCTATGTCTACACGTTGAACCAATCGATATCGATGCAATCTCACGTGATTGACGTTTCGAATACAATCTATGGGTCAGACTGAGTCAGACTGCATGAGGTAAATCACATACACCACCTTACGTCAGCGTGACTCTGTTGGACCTATGGCGCCAGTCAGATGTCAGTCTAATAAGTATCATCAATGCCGTCATAATGAGCAACTTTTAAGAAGGTATTATTCCCACTCTAACAGAGAATTTTTAATGTAAAAAAGGGCTGTGATAACCCTATTAAGACGAGAGTGAATATGTCGAAGGCAATTGGTCAAATCAGGCATTTTATTAAATGCCTAGGCCGGTAGTCAAATTTTGACAGTTTACAGAATTCTGTAAAATGGCGGGGAGTTCACGGGTTTTTAATATTTTAGAAATAATAACTCTTCAAATCCGCAAACTCTCCTTGTTCCTTCCTTTTTACATGCCTTTAGTACAGTTAGATGTTAAAATGTGTATATCTTATGACGTGCTGAAAATTTCTTGATAAATGTGCATTCAGGATCATAAAGTTTAAATTACTGTCGTATGCTGCATATTTTATGTGTATTAAGCGCTTAAAATCGTTTCAAACGCTATTGCATGGTGCATATTTTCTTTCTCACAACAGCAACGAATCATTCTGTCTAAAATTAGGGTAAAAATTCCAGATTTCAATGTAAGTAAGGATATTTGACTATTTGTCTCGGCATTTGACAAAATGCCTGATTCGAGTGATTGCTTGCGACGTATACAAAAAATATACGAGTACCTTCTACTTCTTTTGCAGGAGTGACGTAGACCGGTGCTTTGACGTAAGTAGCTGGTGTATTGTGCAAACAAATGATGGGAAGATAACAGCTCTCGAGAAGGTAAACCGCGATCCTTGATGCATCCGGGGCCATGACCAAGCCGATCAAGGGTAAATGCAGCTGAAGGGTAGATAATATCGTCCCTTTTTTCGTGTCCCATACGATTATCCGTTTATCCTCAGACCCTGCTCAAACAAAATGCAAGGTTATGACCGGAGAAGAGTAATTAAATATCCTTGCCCTAAACATTGACTGCTTAAAATTAAAGATACTTTTTACAACTCTGCACAAAATTTTGAATCAAAAGGTACACCGAGAATTCCGAGAAAGGATATTGGTAGAATTTACCATTCTTTCACGCTGTATTTCACACAGCGTCAATTCAGAGTCAATTTTGCCAGAAGAAAGGTAAACGTTACTAAAAACGTTAAACGTGAAACGTTAACTTTAAACATTAAATTTGGATGTGATTTATCAATTACAGAAAAGCTAATTCCGGTAATTATAATTTTAATTATGACAATTATAATTGAAATTATTCCTCTAGCAGAATCGACTTTGAATTCACGCTGTATAAAATACAGCGTGAAGGAATGATAAATTCTAACAATTTTTTTTCTCGGTAAATGGGTCAGTTGCTCTGGTCACAGAATCGTGTTTTGATGCTAGATTCTTTTAGATCAGCTAAGAATAATAAGATCCGTCCAAACAGCAACTTCCTACGAATAGTATTGACCGAGATATCGTCCTCTGAAAAATTCGGGTTATGACGTCACCCATCGCGATAGTAATACCCTTGGCTCACCACCTTGCTGTTATTAGTCAGGGTGACAAACATCTGTACTGTTTACTCAACGAGAAACTCGGATGAAAGCAAGGTGGAAGAAAGCAAGAGTGCCACCACTGCGTTGGATGGCGTCATAAACCAAATTTTTCAAAGCGCGATATCTCAGTTAATATTGAGCGTAAAAATGTGTTGCTGTATGGACAGATTCCATTATTTCTAGCTGTTCTACAAAATTCGAGCATCATAACACAATTCTGTGACCAGCGCAACTGACCCAGTCAGTGATCGAATGATCATTATTTTGTATCATATTCTGAGATAATGTCTTTCATCATCGTAATTATGTGATCTTTCATGGGAAAGTCCTGGTACCGGATCTTATAGGAGAGTGCTCCGAACTTTTGAGGACACGCAGAATTGCATACAAATCTGCCACCAAACGGGGCCAATGAAGGATAGAAGTTTGCAGTTCAAAAAATGTATTGATAAAAAGCTGTCAAGGTTTGAAAATTCTGGATTATAATGCGACGTCGCGCTCTGAATCGACGCAAAAATGAGCTGAGCTGAGCTAACCAGCAGTTATTCTTTAAGACGCAAGAGATCAGTTTCTGCTGAAATCTCAAAAGCCGCATTTTTTGCTCAACTGGACAATCAAGATCTATTTATTAAGGTAATATGAAAACAAATGAGGGGAAAACGGGAAACAAGGTTAAAAATATAATACTGAAAACCCCGGACGTTCCGATTCGGAACTGAGTCATTTTTAGTCGGAAAATAATAATTAAAAATTAAAAAGTATCGCAGAGTTTTTTTATTTTATTTTTTTTTCTCCTTCTTTGATATGTTTTAATTCTTAATTTATTTTCCGACTGAGAATGACTCAGTTTCAAGTCGAAACGTCTCGGGTTTTTAGTGTTGTATTTTTAGCATTGTTTCTTGTTTTCGCCCTTTATTTGTGTTCATGTTACCATTGTCTCGGGCTTTTTCACAAATATTTGAATCTATTTATTCAGGTCCACAACCTCTGGAAAGTGTAAAATATGTACCTGAGACTGCAATGGAGCCATCCCCAGCGACTTGAACGCAGGTGATACAACCCAAATGACCCAATAGAAGATGCAAATCAGCGCCTGTGTCCATATCCCACACGATTAGGTTATTATCCCTCGAGCCAGACACAACAAGAGATTTGTTCGTGATTGCCACCGCTACACACGTTACTGTGTCAGAATGACCGACCAAAACCTGGATAAAACATGGGGATAAATAAATGTAGGTTTCCAAATTCATGTGTCTGAGACAATGAAAACATTTCAACGGTAACACTTAAAATTGCATGGAGAAGAAAACTTAAGACTCTGATTGGAAAAGCGGATGAGTAGAAACGGAGTATCAGGTTTACAGAACTGAAATGACTTGGTATTCCTGGATTCCTTGGGAACGAATTCCTCTTGTTTTTTTTTTCTTTTTTTTAAAATGTACCTCAATTTGTTGCACCGAGAGCTAGGGTTTTTTTTAACCACAGAGGTCTGTCCGCATGAAATCTCAAATCTCCCGACTAAAAAGCAGCTGGCCTCCATTGGTTCATGTTACAGAAGGTTCGCCTCCGTATATTTCTAGCGTATGCATAAAATGACTAGTAAACTGACATTTTAGTAATACTACGTGCGGATGAATTTTCTTAACTTACGGATGGACTTTCTTCTTTTTCTTTTCTTAACTTGTGAATATCAACCGTCAAAATACGATTGTGGCATGAGCACAACTGGATTACATTTTGCAACAAAAAAAAAGCTTCACTCTGGCTCCTCTATAAGAGCACCTTTCTGCATAGGAAAGCCAATGGCATATATGTTGCTCCTAAAATGAGCCATAAATAAAGGGATCCTTATTGCAAAATTTAATCCAACTACCCTGGTAAAAATTTGCGATAGGAGCTGCGTTTCAAAATACCATTGGAATTCTTATGGCCGGCTAAAGAAGGCAATAGAAAATCATATAGCTGGCTGTAGAAAGCGGAGCAAATCATATAGCCGGGCTATACGAAGCGATAAAAAAGTATGCAGCCGGGCTATAGTTCCTATCGCCGGGCTTTACACTTTATCGCCATCGGCTATAAAAGGCTATAAGAAATTGTGTAGAAATTCGTGTGCTTTGGTTATTAGTCATTGAGTCATTAAGTTTGATACGGAACCACCATAATATTCACAAAACACACATTATATTTTCCTTTAATACATATTTTTTTTCATCAATTAAAATGAGAATAATCCATACAGGATGTGCAAACATTTCAAAATCATCAGTTGAAAAACGCTGACTCCGCAAGATTATATTGGAGCCTAACAGAGCGGAGCGGCGTGCTGCCAGCGATAAGCGCGCACCAGCGCCTACAAACCTAACAGGGATACTTCACGCATGGCGCAATGCGTGAAGTATCCCTGTTAGGTTCGTAGGCGCTAAGGCGCTTTTTGCGCTGGCTGCCCGCCCACCGCGCCGCAGCGTGCCACGGCGCTTGATGCAACTATTTCACACCAGAGGTATTGCGCAGTATCATACGAAATTGAAGGCGCTCCAACATATTAAGAATGGCAGGCATCCTTCAAAAGTACGGAGCTTTCCGCGCAAAATAAATCAAGATACTACGGCCCAAAAATAGAGCGGTAATCAAAAAACAGTTCTAGCATCCGTAATTAGTAACATTTAGCATGCACTTTATCGCCTGGCTGTTGCTCAATCGCCATCGGCTATAAAAGGCTATAAGAAATTGTGCAGCCGGCTATAGAAGCTATTGAAAATCTTACAGCCGGCTTTAGGTCTAAGGTATTTTAGAACACACATTCTTCTGCCAATTCTTACCAGGGTAATGGATTGAGTACAACACAGAACATGAATTAGATGACTTCATTCCACGTTTTCTCTTCAAAGCTTAAATTAGAAAATATTACGAGCAAACTAAAAGAAAAACATATATTTTTCATTAACATTTGTTGAATGGCAAGAATACAAATGACGTCATCTGGATGGCAGTTTGCAAAAAAGAACCAGAAGCATTGCAATGGTGCCAAGATTGTGCAACTTCATCCTTTGCAATAAAATTACTAAAACCATGAAAAACTATGATTTTACATGAAAATTTTTGTCTTGAATTTACAGTTTTCAGCGAGTAAAATAGAAACTGTTAGTGGATCATCAGGTTTTTCTTCCAAGACGAAAGAAGATGCATAATTTTGGCAACATTGCAATGCTCCTGGTTCCTTTTTGCAAAATGCAATCCATCTGTATGACTCGTTTTCAATTAGATTAGTAGAAAGAGCACCTGCTCACGTAGCATTTAGAGATGGATATCTAAACTGTCCGCGTCGCGTGAAGAGCCTCCCACATGGAATTTTGAGAATGAAAGATAAACTTGGTACTTAATTTTATACTTTGTCTAGTTACCAGTCGAACTGTATTGTGCAATTAAAGACTACTATTTTTTGCTGGGTTTAAAAACGACTTATATAACATCAGTTTTCCTAGGCACATAGGTGTTTTTACCGATCAGTCAGGTGTTGTAGCTTTTTATTGTAAAATGCAGACGAAAGAAAAGAAACTCAAGAACTTACTTGGGCTAGCTTCCCGCCAATGACCTGCCAAACCTTCAAAGACGTATCTTGTGACCCCGTGATCAAGTGGAGTGAATCCATGGTCAGGACAAAGCAAGTTATTTCTTCCGTGTGACTGACGTTGAACTTCTCATCATCTCGATGGGACACCAGGGGCCATATTCGTAAACTAGAACACGCATGTATTGTAAGATTCATTGCACAAGCTAAGTGTACCTACTTATCTAAATTCGTCGCTCTTATGAACGTATTTATGCTAAAAGGAACTATAAGCATAGGGATTGCGTGTAATATAGTTCCTTTGAGCATAAATACTTCCTTATGACAAAAAGGCGTTACTCGATGTCCGCATGAGCCCCAGAAAGCATGAATTTAATATGTAGAACGTTACCGTGCTAAGGAAGAACGCCGTATGAACCTTCAGACGTTGCCACATTTCCTCTGATAAAATACGAATTTTCAGGGAAACTGTTGGATATTTTTCTTTCAATTTTTCAGACAATTTTGTACACACTTTAGTCTAAATTATCTCAAAATTTCAAAGGAAAACTATTAACAACTTTCTTGAAAAATACATTTTTTATCCGGAGAAATTTGGCGCCTCTCGAATGTACATACGGTGTTCTTCCTCAGCAGAACGGGGCTCACGTGGAAATTGAGGTACGCCCTTACGTCGCACGGTGGATCGAATCAATGGGGGAGTTCGGAACTTTAAACGCTTATTGCGCAATGCGTGAAGTATCCCTGTTAGGTTTGTAGGCGCTGGCCGGCCGGCCGCGGCGCCGCACGGTGGATCGAGTCAATAGGAGAGGCCGGACAAAATTTGGAAACTTTTAACGCTTATAACTCCGTTTAGACAAAATTTTGCGGTTCTAAAAGTCGTTCTATTGGTTTCCGCGTGAAATTTTCTTCAACCACCGCTCCTTGGAGTTTAAAATGCGACGAATAGAAATCAACATCAAAATTTGCAGTTTTAGTAAAAAATTGTGTGCAGAGGCGGATCCAACAATTTGGCAACACCGGATTCCCGCCATTTAAACCTATGTTAAATAATCGATTCTTGTCGGAGCACCTGGCCCCTCTAAGAATCGATATATTTCCATAGGTTTAAATGGAGAAAAATAATGTTGCTAACTTGCTGGATCCGCCAATGATTGTGTGTACGACCTCTCTAATTGACTCGATCCACTGTGCATCGGAGGGGTGACGAATTGTGATAATTTCGTCGCTCGTATCTTTGGTGCTGAATTTTTGTCCTTACTTGGGAACACGTGGCGAACCAATGACATGCCGTTAAACAGATGTCTTTCACGGCCGTGTAAAAGGCAGTGCTTTCCAAAGTATCATTCCGAAAGTTTAGGTTAGCCACTACATATATTTTTAGGCAACATTAATTTATGAATTCTAAATTGGATTGCATTTTGCAAAAAGGAACCAAGAGCATTCCAATGCTGCTAGGATTGTGCAACTTACATTCTTTGCAACACAATTACTGAAATCATGCAAAAAATTAAATTTACAGAAATAATTTTCGTCATGAATTTATAGTTTATTGAGAGTGAGGATGAATCTTCTTTAGATGATCGGTTTATATTTGCAAGGTAAACGAAGTTGCACAAGCTTAGCGACGTTGGAATGATCTTGGTTCCTTTTTGCAAAATGCAATCCAATTCTGCCATGTTAAGGAAATACGCCGTTTGAACATTCGAGAGTTTCTAAATTTCTTCCGATATAATGTGTAGTTTCAAAGAAAGTTAGGGATATTTTTCCTTGAAATTTTCAGGGACTTTGGGTGAAATTCCAACAAAATTATCTAAAAAATTGGAAGGAAAATATTCATGAGTTTACCAGGAAATTCGTGTCTTTTCAAAGGAAATTTGGCAACTCCTGAAGGGTCGTATGGCGTTTTTACTTAGCACGGCAGAATTGCTGTATTGCTGTATTGAGAAACGCGCATATTTTGGAGCGAACGGGATTGGTACCAGGTCTAGGCGATACAGTTTTCCTCGGAAACCTGTTTTTTTGGAAACATATTTTGGAAAATAATCGGTTGAACCTAGGTTTCGGCCCAGATGAAGTAGGTCTACCGCACGTACCTGTTGCCTCCGTCCCCTGACACGGCGTACTTCATATTGTTGGTTATGGCCATGTATTGCGTCGGCCCCAGAATAGTGTGCAACAAGTTCCCATTGTCCGCTATCCATACAGCGATCACCCCTTGTTTGTCACCAGAAACCACCCTCCGACTATCTGATAAAACTCCTACGGCCGTCACTATCGATTGATGTCCCTGAAAGTCAAACAAACACATTAAGGTACACATATCAACGTAGCGACAAGAATACAAGCACCAGGAAGCGCTAAAATATACAACCTGAAGAAGCGAGAGTGGGGGTTTGAATTTAAAATGTTAACATTTTTTGGAATTAGTAGGTTTTACGAAAGAAAATACTAAAATTAACTAAATGATTGACCCTCTAGTATCCTTGTAAAATTGCATCGCATGCTTACTCGAAATACATACAAAAATGGATCTTTACAAATGGGGAAAAGATTACATTAACACCACGTCAGTCCGCCTTCAATGTATAGTATAGGCAAGACGACCTCTCACGTTGACAAATAGTGGTATCATCTTAAAATGGCATGCTAACTCTGGGGGTGGGAATCACTCGAATGAAGAGTCATCGGGAAAATTTCAGGGAATTTTCTTGAGAAACTTCGATAATCCCTATGCTCGCTACAACACTCCGGATTGGGGTCTTTCATTAAACTACCGATTGCTAATAATGGCATCAATGTATCTTCTTATAGACCTCATTTTGCCCGTGAAAAGACGGCTCGGCCCTACTTACGGTAAAGACGGAGACAACAAGTCCTAAAGTTAAGCCCCATGCCCGGGCGGTCTTGTCTTCTGATCCGGAGATTGCGAAAAGTCCGTTTGGCGAAATGGCAACGCTGGTTATAGTAGCCGTGTGACCCTCCATTGTAGAATGCAGCTCGTGGGAATTTAGCTGCCACATGTTCACCATATTATCTGTTGCACCTGTATTGAAAGATTAGTTCTGAATAAAAAATACTCTAATAATATAATCTGAACACATTTAGCACTGTTAAATTCCAGAAGTTGCCGATTTTGAATTTATCTCAAGAGGTGCATTTAGCATTAATTTCAATTTGTACATCAATATGCGTATCAATGCAGTAAGGATGAAACTAATCTTAAACATGTTTGAAATATTGCTACGTTATTGGTAGATTTTTATTCTGCCAATAGCACACCAATAATTAATAAAACACGATTTCAATTAGTTTTAGCAGTCTGCAAAATCGATGAAGTCATTGTGAGAAAATGCACTGGAAAAAAAAACCACATTGGATCTAGAGTCCAGACTCTTGAAAACATTGACAAGAAAAAGGACTCTTGATTCAATCAGATTTAAGCTAAAATCGAAAGGAAATCCGCTCAAATTAAGATGCTTGGTTCTTGATTCAAGCAAAAATCTGATTGAATCAAGAGTATTTTTTCTTGTCGATGTTTCAAGAGTCTGGACTCTAGATCCAATGTGTTTTTTTTTCCAGTGTGACTGTACCACATGCTCCGTAAAAAGAAATGCTGGAGTTGCGTCATCGAAGTACTTGGCCAAATTGAAGGGCCAATCCGAGCTTTTGGGAAGCATTGTCGACAAAATCAGATGGCAAAAATTTGATTAACTCGAGGAACATCACTCTCCTGAGAACTTTTTCCATGCACCCTTTCAAGTGGACGGTAAAAAATTATTGTGTCGCATATAGACATTTGTCTCAAAGTTATTACGCATGATATTTCTTTACCTGTGACAGCCGTTAAGCCATCCCTCGAAACTTCTAAGCAGGTGATGGGACCCGTATGCGGTTTCTTCACTTGAGAGGAATGCTTTCCTAAAACAAAATATTCCTCCAAGCCAACGCCATCCTCTCGGCGGAAGCTCCAATAAGTTAATCTATTTCCACCTGCAATGCAAAGAATGGAGCTGAAAAGAAGCATTACTTTTATAAAACATAAAAAGTGGTCACTATAGAATTTTGCCGACAGGCCATCTACTCTTTTGAAGTTTTTTTATTAACAATGAGTGATTCAGTTATTTTTTTCTTCTTTGGTAGAGGATACTTGGATTGCATTTTGCAAAAAGGAACCAGAGGCCTTGCAATGATGCTAAGACTGTGCAAAATCATCATTTGCAATAAAACTACTGAAATCATGAAAAAATATGAAATTCATATGGTACTTTTAGCCTAAAGTTTAAAGTTTTTAGCGAGTAAAATAGAAACTGTTGATGGATAAGCACTTAAGCAGGTTTTCTTCCAAGACAGAAGAAGTTGCACAATCTTAGCAACATTGCAAAGCTCCTGTTTCTTTTTGCAAAATACAATCCACTTGTTTCTCCCTCAGCTATTATAGCGTAAGGGTTACGAAGTTATTTTGTCTCGTGCTGCGCATTTTTGTCTAATTTTGATAAAAATACTATACCAGCAGTAATGAGGTAGTCGTCTCTGTTGGTGATTTTGACCTGAACAACTTCCATGTTGTGTGGGGTCGTGATTGTCCTCGCCAAACAGCCAGTATGCATATCGTAGACGTAAACTCTTCCGTCTATTCCTCCAACCACTGCCCTACGATTGTCTCCAGCTATACACATTGAAAGCACCTATTTCAGAAAATCAGATAAAAATTCGTTATCAATAATGATAAAAAATCTTATTGTTCAATAAATATGTTACCATAACTGACGTTCCGAATATCTAATATACAAATGACGAAATCGAAATAACTGCTCGCAAAGAAGTGATTAAATTACAGTAAAATAAATAAATCGTTCCTCGAGAAGTACAAAAATTAATCTATTTAAAATTAAATATTCCATCATATTACGACGACTGAACCAGTTTAAACCCTCATTTGTGCTTGTCTATTTGAGGAGGAAGGGATGTGAATTCATTATACCGGTAAGATCCGTACTCTGATGAAAGTAATGATATGATGTCCCGCATTGAAGACGGGGACAGGTCAAACAGTCAAATATCGATGACCAAAGTGCGGAACCACTGTCCCTGTTTGCAACATTGCAAACTTCCTGTCATATCGAAAGTTCGATTACTGCTGTCATTCACAAAAATACAGTTTTTAAACGAGGCATCAGCCATCAAATTTCTATGTATGGAATTTTCCTAAACGAGCGAGAAAACTCAATTAAGGAGAGTTAGGTGTGAGTAAAGAAAACAGGCCCGATGTCGGCGCCGCTACCGATTATACTTGTACCAGTTACATATGGACCGCGTTAAACAGAAAGGAACCAAGCCACATCAGCTATCGCCAAATTTGACAGGGGAATCTGATTTTTTACGAGAGAACGTTTGTGCGGATTCTTTTGACAATTTTAAGGAATTTGCTCAGTATTATGGAGAAAATTCATAGAAATTTGCACAAAAATCCGCACAACCGTTTTCATGTGAAAAATTAAAATGCCCAATTAAATTTGGCAATAGCTGATGTGGCTTGGTTAGTTTCTGTTTAACGCGGTCCATATACCAGTCATATTACCCCCTGTCAAACTTTACTTCCTCTTTGGAAATCTAGTCCAAAGAAACGCGTGTAAATTTCAAGCAATGAAATTGGCCTTTTTCTCTTCGACAAATTAAAAGAGAATCGGGAATTTTGAAACAAGGAAATAGAGATACGTGGTTTTGCACTTTGGTCATCGATATGACGTATAAAAGAGGAGCGTGTTTTCAATAAAAGAGGAGAAGCTTATCATTTGGAACAATGTAGGCAGAAGATATGCTTTTATTAGCAGGGATTTTGAATGAAATGGATAGTTCATCAGTTCCGATCTTTTGTCTCATACGGAATATTGAAAATAATTAAAGGAATCATAGTTTGGTCGTACCTTCGGCCTGTGACCCCTGAGAGCGTGGATTAGCGTACCAGTTGCTAGAGTGTGTAAATATAGTTGATTGTCCTCGCAGGCAACAAGTAGAAAAACAGAGTCACTAGACAAGCTGAGTTTACTCACTCCGCTTGGTATATTGATTGTATTGAGCAAAGAGAACTTATCAAGCGCCCAAAGGCACACACAGCCGTCAGCAGATCCTGCAATCCGAACATCACGAGTTACACATAGCAGACAGAGATGTACGTTTGATAATACATTCTGCAAGACAAAGCCACACAATTTTATTCATCTAACAAAAATTCAGGAAGGTCATGACCTCGTTAACAGAAAATTCCGTAACAACTTTAAGAAGGGAGCTATAGTTCTATCGCAGAGCTGTTCCTTAGTACTCCGGCGTAGAGGAGAGCTATTTACCATCTGGATTGCCGAAAATTGGCAATCTTGCTCTGACCGTGTCAGCCGAGTTCTTCTGTTTTTGATGTTTCAATTTAAATGTTTTCAATATGCCGGTTAGATCATCGCATATAGAGACTGTCATTTCCCTTCAACGATAACGGTATTTAGGTATTACGATGCTGTCCACCTTCGAGGTAAAATTTTAGAGATTTAAGCAAAGACCAATATGCAAGTTTAGACGAGAATTGAAGCATTAATTGAAACATTTGCATAACTTCTCGTAAAAATAATATTTTATGGTGGGAAATGCAAGGCTGATGAAATGTTTTTTCTCGGCGTGTAACATGAAGGCTATTTCCATTTAAATCTTCCGTCACATTCTTACGGCGCAATGATACAACTATTTAAACTCTCCGGAATGCGTGAGGTATCACGCCGCATTTGAAGGCGTTTTCAAATCAGCCAAGTTCCGATACCCGGATTATCGTTTTGCATAGTTCATATTCTTTTGTTATATTTCATGCCACTTGTTTATTTTTAATCCTCATAGGAAAGCACCCGTTTGTTAGTACAATTCTAGCTGAAACGCACTTCAGCTATGCATTCACCACTGCAAAAATTTCAGAGGAAATCGACAAGCCCAGCGTGCATGAAGGCAGGCCCGCCACAAGGGGGGGAGGGGATACTGGGTCCCTGGTACCGGGGCCCGTATTACCCGTGAAAAACCACTACGAATTCACATGCAACCCTTGTTTCGTAAGAAAAAGTGAAAAATTTACCCTAAAAATTTCGCCAAAGGTGAATAGATTTTCAGAAACACGCTGGGGCACTGTAGAATTCTTCTTAAATTTTCAAAGAAGAATACTTCTTGGAAAATTTCTATCTATTTTCAAGATTTTCAGTACAGAGGGATATTTTTAGTAACTGCGTTTCATTTTCTTCCCTCGTCAGATGCTAAGAGTCTCTATCCTCGACTTCAATGGCTCATGGCTCAACTCCCTTGCCATAGACAAACGAAGGGGGAGTCCAGGGGGGCCTGGCCCTCTTAGAACTGAAAATAGTATCATATCCCCCCCCCCAAAAAAAGTAAAAATTTTCCAGATGTTTTGAATGCAACAATTCGCAAGTATTTTGTGCTGAAAGTAGAAAAAAAACATAATTATTCCGAAGAAATTGATGGAAAAATTATTTATGGAAGCTTCAAAATGCGTCCGATTAGTTGTATAAATTCTAAAATTTCTCGGAGGATGCCCCTCGGACCCCTCCCCCCCTCCGTGCTTGGGGCCCGGACCTTAAAACTGGTACCAGGGCCCGAGATGGGATATGGCGAGTCTGCGTGTAAGAATGGATGGAAAAGCATGTACCTGACACGAGCACATCCCCGAGGAAGTTTGTGGCCTGGAGAGCCGTCACAGGTCCTCGATGGTGGTCGATTTTCATGACGATTTCATTCGTCACCAAAGAGCTAACGATAATTCGAGAATCCTCTCCTCCAGATGCCATCACAGTCGAGTTCATTGCCGATGTCACACATATCACGGGGGCTATGTGCTCTCTGAAACACGAATATATTCTGCACTATATCACAGAATTTCCGAACTTATGTAACGGTAAAATTATTGAAAACATACTGAACTTGACTATTTACCTACTTCCTTCTTATCACTGCTATCACTCTTCTTTCCTTTTGAATTTTGCATTGTTTGGATTTTATTCCATGACTTAGTGCAATAGATTTGTATTTTTGCTTTACTTCGTTTGCCACTAGTTTTGTAGTTTTTTTTATATATTTTTTAATTTTCTTTTTGTAAAATGTTTCCACTTGTTGCACTGAAGAAGACCGCAATTTGTTGGCGGTCGAAACGTTTTTTTGTTTCCTGTAAGTTTCGGTTTATTATTTCTAATCTCTACGTAGTTTGAAATACTATTTGCTTAATTTATTTCCGGCTTGCAGCTCGATTATTTTTCAATCATTTTACCATGTTCAATGAAGCTTAGCCAGCCAAATTTGGCATTAAAATGTACTTATGTGACGGTTTGGATATATTTGAAAGTTAGGAAAGGTATGGTTCAGTAAGGTTTTCCATGAGAATATAATGATAAGCTGGGTGATTTCATCCCACTAAGTAGGAATCCACTCTATCAAACACTCTCATGTTGGCAGGAGCACGTGTCGGGCAAAGAAGTAAGTAGAGAAAAGAGGAGTGTGGTGTACGCGCAGTGCATGAAGTATCCACGCAGTCTTGCAGGCGCCAACAGCGCGCGCCTCCGCACCGTGGTGTACGCGCAATGTGTAAAGTATCCCTGCAGTCATGCAGGCGCCACATGAGCCAGGTCCACATGCGTCTCGCGCCGGCCGCACTTTGTTCAGCGCAATCATTCAAACTCGCGCAGCGTTTTTGAACTTGTAATTTTGAAGGATTTTTCACAGGTACACTTTGCATGGACTATTGTCATTTAGTTTAATTTAAATTAAACAAATTACACAAAATCCAACTATTTTTCCTTTCTTTACTTACATAACGACAGCCAAGGTGCAAAACTACGGATCTCCATAAGCGACGATGCAGAGTTCCTATCAAACTTTCATTATGTTTTCTTAACATCGCTAATCAACTAAATTCCTTCAAAACTGCCTCGATTTTCTCTCACTGTCATGAGAATATTCTGCAAAATTTTCAAGCTATAAAGTTGACTTGTTTCCTTTAAAAAAATTTATAATAAAGGAGCGGGAATTTTGAAACATTGAAATAGATGTACATGGTTTCGCACAGGATCATTGGTGCTTATTTGTATTAACAAATAGACTTAAATTGAGGCTTTAAAGGTGCATTTTTGGTATTATGAAATACGATTGTGATCTTAACTTACACCATCTTGAATTTCAGTTCAAACGTCTTCAGATCCCAAACGATTGTTGAAAGGTCGGCGGAGCCAGTTAAAAGGTACTGAGATGATTTGACTATCGAAATGCACAGAACAGGTCCAGTGTGTCCTACAATAAATAAATGTATAAATTGATAAAATTTGGAAAAAATAGGATTTTACTTGTACATCGGAAAACCTCATCACGATGATTATGCCAAATAGTCAAGATTGCGAAGCAATCAGAAAGTAGAAATGCATTCAGTCGAATTCGAACAGAGTAAGCGGCGTTCAAATTTTGGCTGTCCTTTAATTAACATTTTGCACAGCTTGTAGGTTTAAAAAAATTACCAAAATGAATATAATGCATGAAATTCGCTAAATTGAATTAGATTAGATGAAACTTAAAAATTAGATGTGTTAGATTAGACGTGTTAGGGTGCTGTTGTGTGTGTTAGATGTGTGTAGTTAAATTGCCCTGTCTTCCTATTTCAATCAATGAAAGGAAGCTTTAAAATTTTTAAGTCGGCAGACTAAGAGCTGTCGTAGCTGCTCTAAGTGTAGTAAAATAGTATTAATGTTGCAAGAAAAAATTTTACGCAAATGAGACTGCACGTATATATTAACTAGTCTTTCCTTGATGTAGATAAAAGCGTACCATGCATTGCACTCAATGAGAAAATCAGAGTCAGTGAAGAGCTATGATTTGCGACTTATCGATTTATCCGCTCTTTAAACGTATGGAAGAGGATCGATAAACATGAATCAAACACTTTGATAATCGATTCTTCACCATAGCTTCAAATGGGAAGATATCGATACTCAATCATTCACACACCTCACCACTGGATAAGAGTTATCCGCAAAAAAAAAAAAAAAAAAAAAAAAAAACTGTTCAACGTCGAAATGATGACCGGATGAAGAGTAAAATTAATACAAACTAATTACCTCTGAATGTATGCACTAGAGAATTTGACATTACGTGCCACAACTGAGGATCCCCATTTTGTGGAACTACGACGATATGTTGAGCAGTCGGAGTTGGTTCAATTAAAAGCACCTTGGCATTACATGTAACATCTGCAATAGAAAATTCGCTGTGGGTTACGATAAAGTATGATTGAAGCGAGGATTTAAACTTTGTTCGCGCATTTATTTCACCCTAACATTCATTTTAAAATGAACGTTGGAAATAATGCTTTATCCAGAAAATTAATAATGTCGCGATAAAAATTAGTAACAATTTACATAATCGGCACAACAAGCCACGCTGATATTTAGTTAAGGTGTGGAAGAAACAAAAAAAAATGCCTTTAGTTGGTATCACATGTGACGAAAACCAAACACATTTCATTTTAACGCCTGAATGCAACTATTCGCTCCACGGATGTCCATGTTGCATAAGCGCGGAAGTTAAGGCGTTTTGACTTTCCTGGCAGTCGCCGCTTAGCTCACGTAAGACGTGGCGCAGTAACAGGCGGTACTGCAAGAATCCAAAAGGACAGAGAGATTTCAATTCTTTGTTTATACATCAATGCATCTTGATCATGGACAGTTACAGACAGGCATAGGATGTGAGGATTTTTTGTCCTTCAGTCTATCAAAACTGAAGCTTAAAGCAGCGATGTGCAGAGCATGATTTGGACGTATTCATGCTAAATGGAACCACGTGCAATTTGGAAAGATGGGGTGTGGTCGTTCCTTGAGGGCCATAAGAATGAATGGGGATTTTAAAGCGCCAGTGACGTCAGCGGTAAAGAAGACATCTCCATTGTCGTTCTCGCTCGGTTTTATAACTCATGAGCCCTGTCCACAAAGCTCTTGTCACATGTCCACGGCTCACGAGTTAGCGCTCAGTTCCTTTTGATTTCCCGCCTTTACATTTTCTCAAAAAGAACTATATCCACTTTTACATTGTTTCTTATCCACCTCACCACGAGCACACCCATTACTTCCACTTGCGCATAGTTCCCTTTAGCATAAATTCGTCCATTTGTAAAGTAATTTATAGGAGCTCTTCGTGAATATTGTGATACTGGTACCTCAAAAGTTGCCAAAAATTGAGGTCTGTCATTTTTACAGAGGGCAATTCGGCCTTATAACTGTAAGCAGGCGGCATCGATGACTGTTGAGAGTATTGATTTCATCGAGTCGGAAGTTAAATGACTAATGACAGGGGAGCTTATTAATATTCATGTCGACTCACGTTTGATTTGTAGAGGCAAAGGAGGTTGAAGCCACCCCGTGAGCGGAACTAATAAAGGGTCCGTGTATCCATCACACCAAGCCATCGCAGATGTTATCATTTGGCTCATCAATTTACTACTGTCTGAAAATATAAATCGGAAATCAAGATGAAAATATGTTTTTTTAGTCAACTTGCAGTCAATTTAAAATACGAGGCATGGATACGTATAAGAGGACTTATCTGCAACAATAGCGGATGTGAAAAATTACCTTTTCGAAAAACATTCAAAAACCTGTTTTGGCATCGAGAAAATGAGGAAATACTTGAGATGTGATCTTCGAGATCTGTACATGATGCCAGAGCCAAACATATTAAATTTTTGTGTGAACAAAACAGTTTTTTAAGCGTGTTCCGAAAAGGCTATTTTTCACATCCACTATTGTTACAGATAAGTCCTCATATGTGAGGGGAAAATAACGATGCTTGTGCAGTGAAAATAAGAAATTTCAATACTTGACAATTCTTAAGCACGGAACATACCTTCGTATTGTTCACACCGTCAAAGTTTTTATTTGTTTCCTCTATTCTCTTCTATATGAGGGTAAATTACATTATGCTGCGATTGATTTCAGTTAAAAGACCAGAATAACGAGTTATTTTTAGTTCTTTTATGTAAGCTGAATAGCACTTACTATTTCTAATTCTAGAAAAAATTAATTTCTCCTAAAAGTTATAATATCTAGATTATTGTATCGCAAGGATCCGATTGGTATGATCGGTAACGTTTCAAAGCTGATAAAGGTTTGATAAAATAGTAAAGCAACTGGATGAATTTTCCATTTCGCTCTCTTTAACCGAAGTTTCTAGATTTTTTTTTAACTTTGATAGCTGCTTTGTCAAATTCTACATGTTTGATCAAACTGTACCAATTTCATCAAATTGCCTATACTAACCTGAAACTGGCCGCAGCCAACAGATGATTTGAGCTCCTAACTGAAGAGTGTCTCTGGTTAAAACATCACTTGATTTCCGAATTGTGTAATAAATTAACTCTAAATCCCTGTCCAGAAGGTAACACCGGGCGTGCTCTATGATTGATCGTAAATAACTGATCGAAATTGTTCGAACAGCTGCCAAGAGGAAGTCGAAATTACAAAAAGTTAATTGTTTCAGACGCCTCGTATCACCTGTGAATAAAACAGACGAAAAATAAGGTCATTTGTTGCGAGGATGAACTTTTACAAATTCTGTATTAGAAAGGAGTGGACATTTGCTTTCTCATAATTTTTTGTCTTGAAATTGATTTCAATCTATAAAAATGCGGAAATTACTCAACAACGCTTGCATCATATTTTCTTTTAGCGGCTCTGGTGCTTGCACTAGAGCTGCTATTCCGGACGGTCCCAGCTGGGGAGTATCAATGCAGCATGTTACATTGTAGAGACCGCGCGTTGGTTGATGGGAATCGGCGCCATTTTCGGCTATGTTCCTTGTCATGACTTTATTTTATTGCATACTGTTTTATTGTTAGTCAATGCTATGTTGTGTATTGTATTTTTGGAATCATGGTGATACAGTCAA